AAGTATGCTTTGTTGTGGCTATTCCCGTTGTTGCGGTTTTTGTTGCTGCTGCTGTTGCTGCTGCTTCTGCTTCTGCCTCTGTTTTTGTTGTTGTTGCTTTTGCCCTTGCTGTTGTTGCTTCTGCAGTTGCCGTTGGTGTTGTTGTAGTTGTTTGTTTGTGTTTGTTGTTGTTTGTTGTTGTTTGTTGGTGTTTGTAAATAGTGCAAGCCTGTGTAAGTATGCTTTGTTGTGGCTATTCCCGTTGTTGCGGTTTTTGTTGCTGCTGCTGTTGCTGCTGCTTCTGCTTCTGCCTCTGTTTCTGTTGTTGTTGCTGTTGCCCTTGCTGTTGTTGCTTCTGCAGTTGCCGTTGGTGTTGTTGTAGTTGTTTGTTTGTGTTTGTTGTTGTTTGTTGTTGTTTGTTGGTGTTTGTTGTTGTTTGTTGGTGTTTGTTGTTTTTTGTTGTTGTGTGTTGTTTGTTGTTGTTGTTTTGAGGTTGTTGCTGTTCCTGCTGCTGTTGCTGCTACAGTTTCTGCCGTTGTTGCTGCTATTGTTATTGTTGCTGTTGTTAGTGTTGCTACTGCATTTGTTCTTGTTGCTGTTGTTGGTGTTGTTGTTGCTGCTACTGTTGCTGTTGTTGCTGCTGTTGCTTTTGTTGCTATTACTGTGGCTACTGCATTTGCTGTTGTTGCTGTTGTTGCTGTGTTGTTACGGTTGTTGCTGCTGAAGTTGCTGTTGCTGTTCCTGCTGCTGCAATCCCTGTTGTTGTTACTGCTGCTGCAGTTGCTATTGGAGTTGCATTTGTTGTTGCTCTTGCAGATGTTGTTCTAGACTCTAGAGCTTAGGGCTTATCGTTCAGGTGTCTAAGGGTTGGGAAGTAGGGTTGTCGTCGATTGCCCCCATTTCTAGATAGAGAAAAGGCCTGCAGACGGCATCAACCCTGTCGGCATGTGGCTTGCTTGCGATCGTGGGAGTTATGGTATGTGTCAGGGGCAGTTCGATTCCTTCGAGATTTCAAATAGTTTTTTCTAAATACATATATTCGCAGAAGGGCGAATGAACCCCTTGCAGAAGATGAGTCTTGAATATTTAGACAATCTGCATACTAATAGGACATGTATCTTGGCTTTCGTCTAAAGGTTGCAGTCAGCAATCCATAGCCTCTTCATTCCTTTCGATAACGCTCATAAACTCCTTCATTGACTCTCCTCGCCTTTAGATTACTAATACTGCAATGTATAAATACGAAGTATTTATGTGCACATTATACATACAGATGCACACAAACGAACTTATTATGCAGGGTACTTCTCAAATATATACTGCATCTACCAATAATAAGTTCGTTGCATCCACCAGTACGCATCTACGTATCTGCCTACATATATCTGTAGTATATGTGCATTATATACAGTAAAATCACAGCCCGGCTGAGGAGAAAAAGCCTGCTATCCTTCCGTTTTAAATACCAAAGAGACAAAGTTTCGGAAAGGAAAGCTAACTAATTAAAATGGATTTGTCAAATGCAAACAAACAAAGAGACAAAGTTTCGGAAAGGAAGACTAACTAATTAAAATGGATTTGTCAAATGCAAACAAACCAAACTACTTGTGTGCGTGTAAATAGAATCGACAACTGGACACTGGGGAGGTGAGAGCTGCCCACCACTAGCAGATAACATATATGAGTACCATTGTTTGGTATAGATGTTCAAAAAAATTGACATACACATTCATTGGGGAAATGATTGCAGATGCACCTTATAATGCAGAAATATTTCTCCATATATTTTCCGTGGCCCCCAATAAGTTTCAACTGCATAATTTTGCAGCTCCAACAGCAGCAACACAACCACATGCTGCCGCAAACAGAAGTTCTAGCGGTAGACAACTGACTATTATTCATAAGGAGACAATGTAATACGATGACAAGAGAAACACAGAACACAACAGACATACACATTCATTGGGGAAATGATTGCAGATGCACCTAATAATGCAGAAATATTTCTCCATATATTTTCCGTGCCCCCCAACAGGTTTCATTTGCACAATTTTGCAGCTCCAACAGCAGCAACACAACCACATGCTGCTGCAAAAAGAAGTTCTAGGGGTAGACAACTGACTACTATTCGTAAGGAGACCGTGTAATGCGGTCTCTCTTGAAGTAATGATGGGAGAGCACCCGGGTGGCAAGGAGCCAGCTGCAGTTGCCAATATGCATGAATCAAACATACCTATAAACTGAGAAGAAAGTTTGCACATACTTTGCTTGTATAGAATTGTTTTGACGGCATACTTCTCCTAACTTTTCCTCACTACTAGGTTCCTCCCCTTGAGATCCACTCTGCGTCGTCTCTCCTATACGGGTTGTAATCCATGCAACTGAAGTCACTGGTTGGGAGACATTTGAACAGGTACCTTTTCAGCTCCACCGTCTCCTCTGCAGAAGGCCTTTTCCCCTGTTTGAGTAACTCCAGCGCTTGCATAAGCCTACTGACCATTCGCCTGTTCAAGTTGTGGCTTGGGCCGCCACCTTTCTTGTGTATCACAAGTGTTGTGGGAATCAACTTTACGAACGCCTCCCATTCCCTCCGCGATTCTTCAAAATTTCCCAGCACTTGTAAAACAGAGACAATTGAGTCAAGAAGCAAATAACGACGACCCAGCACATACGCAGCGCGCACAGGAGGCATTTCCCTCACCCTTGTCCTGTGACGGGCCAGTAGGAATTTAGCCAGGCGAATCGCAGAGACGTATGCTTTACGAGCGTCCACTTCACCTAGAGCTTCCTTTTTGAAAAGGTCTCGCAGACACATCAAACAGCGATGTGCCATACCTTGAGGCCCGTATGACTCGTCAGATTCCATGATCGACAGGGGAGGTGTAGATACACCCGGGGCAAGCACAGGCAACCGATAAAAGGGGTGCTCATCCAAAGGAAGTGGCCCAGAAGATGCTGGCAAACCCGTGCTGTGACCCCCGATGGCAGTTCCGCTGCTTCCAGCAGAAGCACCATCTTGATAACTGGAGGTGCTCGCTTGGAGTGCAGTTCCGCTGCTTCCAGCAGAAGCACCATCTTGATAACTGGAGGTGCGCGCTTGGAGTGCCCCCCCTGAAGAGCCCAAAGATCCATCCGAACGCAGCTGAGCTGGATGCAGGTGGGATTCAGGTTTGTTGGCATGACCAGTTGGTTGTGTAGAGGGTCCTGGTTCCTCTTCGTCACTAGCATCAGACACTTTAACTGAGGGAAGCGACTCCATCGAATCATCAGAGTCAATTTTGTTGTAATGCAAATATAAATTCAGTGCGGAATCAGAGAGCCATACATCAGGAGAGGTAGGACCACCAAATCCCACAGGGGTCTGTGATTCGCTTGATTCGCTGGGGTATGCGGGCATGTTAGCTCTTCCCCCCTTTTCCGTAGGGACCTGGAGCATCAATCGCTTGGCAGGAATGCCAGAATGCAAATCACTGCCACGCCGTGCAGAGGCCCTATGAAGCTTCAAAGAGAGGGAAGGGGCCAACTTAGCTGCTGCATCGCCTGTCTCACCGCCACTCCGTGCAGAGGCCCCAACAATCTTTTTCAAAGAGACGGAAGGGGCAAACTTAGCTGCTGCATTGCCGGTCTCACCGCCACGCCGTGCAGAGGCTCCAAGAAGCTCCTTCAAAGAGACGGAAGGGGCCAACTTTGCTGCTGCATCCCCTGTCTCACCGCCACGCCGTGCAGAGGCTCCAAGAAGCTCCTTCAAAGGGACGGAAGGAGACAGCTTAGCTGCTGCATCGCCTGCCTCAAGTTCCTGCATCAAACTTCCTCCATCTGCTGGACCGGGGGCTGTTGCTGTGTGGGGATGTGGACGCTCTGGAGGCAATAGCGTTGCAGCCGATGAGCTGCCATCACTAAGAGGCTGCTGCGACACCGCAGTCGTACCTGGGGTAGTTGTTGTAGCCTTAGTACTAGTAGTAGCAGCAGTCGGAACAGGACTCACCAAGTATTGCGTCGCTAGATTCGTGCGCTGCTGGATATGGAGGGGAAGGTCAGAAGCCTGGTGAGGTGGCCGGGTAGCCGAATCCCCTTGGGTTCTCTTCTGCTGCGCTTGAAATAGGATTTGTCGATGCAAGTGCTGTTGTTGCCGCCGTTGCTGCGGTACAAGCAGCACCTGCTGTCCTTGCTGCGGCACAAGCAACATGCGTGGACCTGTCCCAGGCACGAGCAACACCTGTCGCCCTTGCTGCTGCTGAATCACCAGCTGCTGTTGGCCTTGCTGCTGCTGACGCAACTGTTGCCCTCCGAAGGGCTTCACAAGAAGCGCCTGTTGCTGTCCTTGCTGAGGTAACAGAAGCACTCTCTCCCCCCTCTGTGGCAGCACAAGTATCCCTCTTTGCTGCTGCTGCTGCTGGCTCGCGTGTTGCTGCAGCGCTGGTTGTGGTGGACGCTGAGGTCGTTGCAGCAAATCAGGGCTTGACTGCTCCAATTCTAAACAAAGGTTAACAATAGCAGTAACATCAGGATCCTCATCGGAGGGCGGAGGAGAGACCCCTCCCGCTAATCGTCGGGCTGTTCTTCCCCGTTCCACCCGGCTAGAAGACACACGACTGGCGCATTTTGCAATTAGAAGAAGAACCCCAAAAATGCTAAGGAGCAGGAGAGGCGTCAGTCTATTCAGCGACGCAGCCGATCCCACCGGCGCCCTAGAGGGCGTCGCATGCCAAAGTATTCTCTCTACTCTCTCTCCCTCGTGTTCCTTCTTTTTTCCATCAGAAGCAAAGGAATCAGGAAGTGGGTAATCAATCGACGTCTCTCCCTGCGTCTGAAGCGGAAGGTACATTTCCATCCGCCGTCAGACATCCATGCACATGAGTTTCGCCCCGTACGTTAATCCCTAGGGAAAAGTCTTCTTATTTCCGATACAACAGCAGCTAGAAGCACTAAAGAATGGTTGATCCAGCAAGCGAGAACAGAAGACTCCCCAAAATAGATGAAAGGGGCCCGTTTCGGAGGCAGTATCCGTCCACTAGGAGCAGGCGTTTGTAGCGTGGGACGGGCACCGCTATAGATCAACCCTAGATGGGGGGGGGCATTTACCAGCCATAACGAGCATCAAATGAGTTTAGCCTAGACAGCATTCAATAGTAATGAGGTATTTAAACTTTTAATGAATACTGTTAGCTCCCCAGAGACGCCAATTCTTGCTGCTCCTGTCGAGCGTTGTGGTGTGTACGCTGGAGGCGTGTAACACAGGAAGCAACAAAGGAAGCAACAGCATGCGCTATTTGTAAGGCTGGTATTGTAAGCGCATGCACTTTTAAAGACTGGGATAAAGTGTTATACTATTGAATATTCCGTTCGTTTGATCATTACGGAGGGATATGCCGCTTCTCCTCTGCTTGTATGTGGGGTTGCTCTAGGCGCGCAATTGGTGACGATAGTGCAACAAAATTCACAATTCAATCCACTTCCTCTTCCTTTTAGAAGGCATAAAATGAAGTCTCTCGTAGTGTGGTCTCAGAACCGTAGAAGCATGGAGGGTTCAGTTTATTCTCCCGAGCAATGCCATTCTTCCGGTAGCTCAGCGCTAAGGTTGATAGCAAATTAGCGTTGTCTCAATCCCGTTTCTAGGCAGTAATCAAGTTGGCATTAAACGTCAAAACACCTTCCATGAGAGCCTAGGCGTCGAAGAACACTGTGTTCCTCAAGTATGGAACCAGGTTGTAGCGTATCCTGTGTCGATGTGTTCTGGATTTTTTCTGGGGACTATTGTTATCTACATGGGAGGCAAAACGCCTGGATCAAGAGTCCCATAAAGGAATGTGAATTGCCTAACCACCTAACCAGTTACAGCCGCCCTGAGCATAGCTATTCGAGCATCTGGAGCATCTGGAAGGCGGATGTGGTGCCAGGGATTGCAACATACCTTGCGGCTGTCGGCGTTGCTCTACTCTGCAATGCGCTGACTTTTCATGCTGGAATTAACTTCCTAAGTTGCTGAAACTGAACGGAACTGAGTAATGATGGATTGTGCCAACGGAACATGCGTCTCGTTTACATTGAACAACGTTCAAGACTGACTAGACTACAGACGCAGGTGTATGCATGATGGAATGAATCTCCGCATAGTTGCAGTAATGACACTAAACTTTACTGCGATTCGGTGTCCTTACTTTAAGTTTAGTACACCGAATCGCAGTACACGGACAGTCACATCGTAACAAACAGAACGCAAAATATTTGGGATTACTGGGTTGGATAACGGCAACCATTAACGAATGATTGACGAGTGCCAATCATATGCTGCGCTGTTCACGTTAATATCTACAATGGTTGCCGGGAATGTAAGGATTGCCTCCAGATGCTTATGGGGAATACTTTCGCGCAAACGATCCTAAGATAATCATTCAGCTTGCTTTTTCCCGTCCATGTATTGTCTCGCTTTGTTTGTAGTGATGTTGTCGTCACAACAAAGTCACCCGACGAACCGTGATTCGTTTCACGGTTCCTCGAGTGGTTGGGTGGTTGTGACGAGAACTTTTCTTTCCCTTTGCGGACCATAGTCGCTGGTAATCTGGGCATTCCCCGTATCGTTGTAAAAGACTAATAGCACTAACTTTATGGAAAAATCTATGTGTCAAGTCTAAGTTGAAGGTGAAGGCTACTGACGCGGGAACAAACATGCCCTACTCAGCAAACATCTTCGGCTTCTTCCAATCCCGGAGGATTCGAATCCCACGGGATTGCAAGGAGCCCATCCACCTCAATATGCATGGAAGTAGAAACCTACAATAGGTGTTGCCCAAGGTTTATCTAGTACCACAGGAGTTCCCCGGCGGTGGTGTATTGCGACATTCGCCATCAATTGTTGAGTTTAGGGATACTTGCTGCCGCGACAGTGCATAGATCACGGTGTGCTCCATTTTGAAGGGGAACTGGAAGGATAACAAACAGTTGCACTTGGAGGACACAGTGCCTGACTGCAAGGCGTTGAGATAATTCATCCGGGACCACGTTACTGATTCCTCTGGTATGCGTCGCCTTCAGTAGCGACGCATATCTAGTTAGTAGCTCCGTCCGAGCCGGAAAAGCCACAGAACAGCCCTTTCAGTTGTGTGCTCTTGAAGATTTCACTAGTCAAATTGGTCGTTTTGGAGGACCACGTGAGCTAAACAATTCGTGCACAACGCCGAAGGCAGCATACTCTACAGCGACCATAAGCATGGGCCCGCACACCCTTATCCACTTATCCTGTAATCGTTCCTGTCTCTGCTGTCAATAGGAGCTCATATTTTGTAGATCATGCGCTCTCAGCTAACTGTTAGTTTTTGCTTTGACAGGTTTGTTGCTGCTGGCTGCCATGCTGGCCTAACCTATGTTGCTGCTGGCTGCCATGCTGACCTTTGGTTGCGGGTTTTATCGCCACACTTTGGTGGAACACGCCGCTGCAGTACGCCCCATTGTCGTTGGCCGCTTTGTTCATTTTATTTCGTCTCTTTTTGTCGTAGCATGTTGCTATTTGTTCGTTTTGGTTGGCAGTAAGTGTGTGTTTGCTCTGCATTCGACTCGAAGCCTTCAGACAGACACGGCTCTCTCCCCGAAATGAAGCACAAGGCCGCTAGGTAAAACTCTGCGTTGACATTTGCTGATATTTAGCTTGAAAGGCGTAATGTGAACATTGCGATAAACGTCACGAGAGACACATGTATGCATTGGGAAGTTGGATGGAGGAACATGGTACATAAAAGGTCCTACCAAAACCATCCGATCCTCTTTGAAGAGACATGCAGCATAATCAAATGATGCAATATTCTGCCTTCCCCACTTCAGATGAAGTGTCCGGGGTTACTGCACGTTTTAGGAGTGTTTGACAAGAATATTTCGTTTCCGTTTTAATCTACCTGCTCCGCCAAAGATGACGTAAACGCCTTGTGGTGTTGCTTCTGTTTCTGCTACCAATCTGAAAACCATTGGCTCCAGGGTTTTGCAGGCATCGTAAAAGGTAGATGAGATCCAACAGACTAAACGATTAAATCATTTGCAAAAGAGAAACAGACAAAGAGACAGGAGCTGCCTACACAGCTCTCCGTCGGAGTTGTGAAGGCAGCATCTACTTAGGCTGGAGGTGAACCATCCCTTAGGGCAACCAAGATATGCGCCTAAGTGCCTAACTCCCCCTCCTTACCTATAAGCAGAACGTCTGGGAAATAAATTGTGCTCTTACTATCTAACAGGAATTCAAAGTCCAACTGCAACCAACAAACAAAAAGAGAAGGCAGCCATTGAGGCACCCATGGGGTGTGCAGCCTGCGAAGTGTATGCATTCTCGACTGCATTCCGGTTACGGCTTGTTTCTGTGGCGTCTTCTTCTTGAGTCTTGGCCCCCTCAACACTGAGAGGAGTTAAGTATCCAAGCTGAGCCTTCAGCAGAGCGTCCTGCTGCTGTTCATATTCGCGCAACAGCGTCAGATTCTCATGTTCCTTGTGCAAAGTGTGTCGTAGTGCGTCCACATCCTTTACAATTTCTCCTCGTAGCTTAGAAGAGATATTTGCTGCTGACTTCAGACCATTAGAGGCCTTCAAACTGTCTTGAAGCATCTGCACAATATTCTGGCTTTCAGTGTACATCTTCCCCATCCCCCGTTCATATGGCTCTTTCAATATGTTCGATGAAACAGAGCCATATACTTCACCACCCTCTGCCGCTGCTGATGGTGGTGACTCTACTTTGCTTGCTGCTGTTGGCATTGCTGTTGCTGCTGCTCTCTGCTCTGTGGCTGCTGCTGATTCAGGTTTCTGCTGCTGCAAGAGTTGCATTCCAGCTGCGCCCTCATGCAGATCTGGGCTGTTTGAGTATTTTGTGGGAGCAAGCTCGGCTCTTTGGCTTTCAGTTCCTTCCTTGTGGTGTTCTTCCATTTTAAGTGTACGCTGAGGCGTATGCCATACTGCACTAGGCGTCGATGCTCGCACACTGTGTTTGGCTGGCGTTGTCGGCTGCAGTGAGGCAGGGCGGGAGCTTATAAGGCAATTTCCGGGGTGAATTGTCGTTAGAATCAAACAGATAACAAATATCAATGCCAAGTTAAACATCCAATGCTTTCTTTTCCTCAATGTGGAGCACCCCAAGTCTGGGTGCAACAGCTGCTCAATGACTGCCGCCGCCGGTATTTGTGCTCTCCTCATGGCGGAAGGTCAAGAGTAAAGTACAAAACAAAGCGAATTAAATACTTCTTCCTATGCATAAACCGCCTGAAGACACGTTTCATCACTGAGAAGCAAAATCTGGAGAAAACGGGAGGAAGCCGGCACATGCGAGCGCGTGACCTGTTGTACATTACGTTGGCAATGTCTCCAGTGGTCTCACGCGGCTCTTCTTCCACGCTCCCTTTGAGCGAAACCCCCTTGAAGTCGTAGGTTTCGTTAGGCCTAACTAAGCATTATTATATATTTATTTCCTACTTGGATTGTGTGAAACCCAAAAGCTTCTGTACTTCGTTTACAATTCCACTTCCACAGCTGATCAGTTACTCGGACATCGCCACCGCATCCTCTCGTCCTATGGGAAATGGCCAAACCAAAAAAGTTGATACCTAATTTAGATGCGTTTAAACATTAAATTCATTTAATATGTGCAATTAAATACGGCCGGGGGCGAGGAGATGGTTTCCGCAAATACAACGCGTAGCGACGGTCTACACATTCGGTGGTATTAAGAAGAGCCAAACAAAAATCCGGATGCAACGGCTGCTCAATGACTGCCGCCGCTGGTACTGTTGCCCTCCTCATACTGAACGGCCAAGAGAACATAGTGCAAAGAACAGGGAAGTACAGACTTTCCCCTATGCATAAACCGCCTGAAGGCACTTTACATCACCGAGAGACAAAATTTGGGGAAAACGGGAGAAAACCGGCATATGCGAGGGTATGACCTGCACATTAGGCTGGCAATGTCTCCAGTGGTTTCATGTGGCTTTTCTGGTTGGTAAGGGTTGATTGGGGTGACGGGGGTAGAGGGGGAGGGTGGC